AAGTAATACCTACGGTAAGGTTTTTTTTTTTTTAAAAGAAATACACAAAAATCATTTTGGCCTTTGATGCTGACTTTTGTACCCCAGTAGTACATTGCTGCAGCGCACCATCACATTTCGAGAGGGCACACACCGCCTTAAAATAACTATTAGACCGAAACTGAGTACTGCATGACCGCCTTTTACATATTACCGTGAGTCCTAGAATCCAATAATATCTAGCGCCAGATCGCTTTTACAACTGTTGGACTGCCTTTGTAACTGTTTTACTATACTTTACACCGTGCTAAAGCTCTACTACTTGACAAAATTTTACACAATACCGTAGCCCTACTATCGGACAACACTTTAAATATTGCTGGAGTCCTATTGTCGGACAGCCCACTATTTTGGAGGGATAGAAGAGAGTGAAGGTAGTTTAGGCATTTTTTTTATTTTTTATTTTGTTGGAGGTATTTGTATAGGAAGTCTATTTTGAAAAAAAAAAAAAAAAAAAAAGCTTGGGGTACGTAAACACGCAACACGTAACGTTATCGTACTCCCAAATACTGATTCTTGTATAGAAGGGGAATCTCCCCTTTGCCCTCCATCTCCTCCGCAACTTTAATGGCTTCTTCTATAATCGCCCCCGGAACTGAGACACTGGCTCTCATGAAACCAAGGCCTTCAAATGGAGCCCTCTCCATGAAAACCCAACTTCCCAATCACCTAAAACTAGGGTTTTTCAAGTCGGATTTGCAGGGAACACTCTTCCTCAAAGTGGGTTCATTGAGTACTCAGAGAATGCCTGTAATTCAGAGTCCCAAGTGCAGTCTCTCTTCCTCTAGGCCAGTTTCACAACCAAGGTTTATCCAGCATAAGAAAGAGGCTTTCTGGTTCTATAGATTTCTTTCCATCGTTTATGACCATGTAATAAACCCTGGCCATTGGACTGAGGATATGAGAGATGAAGCTCTTGAACCAGCTGATTTGAATGATAGGAGAATGACAGTTGTTGATGTTGGTGGTGGAACTGGTTTCACAACTTTAGGGATTGTTAAGCATGTTGATGCTAAGAATGTGACCATATTAGACCAGTCTCCACATCAGTTGGCTAAGGCCAAGCAAAAAGAACCCCTCAAAGATTGCAAGATCATAGAGGGTGATGCTGAGGATCTCCCATTCCCAACTGACTATGCGGATCGATACGTATCGGCTGGAAGGTCTCTCTCTCTATCTATCTATCTATCTATTTATGCAGCTCACATGTTGAAATTATTGGGTTAGGGTCTTGGTTTATCCTCTGGTTTGGTATGTGTTAGTGATTTATGTGCACTAACTATGCTTTCATGCATTTTAACATTTTTGTTCTGAGCAGTTTTTATCTGCAAACCATTTTTATCCTTAATGAATTGGTTTTTAATTCTGCATATCTATGATAGTCCTGCGTTGATTTGAATTTATAGCCCTGTTCTCTCAATGTAAATGCAAAAAACCTTAAAGTATCAATAAGAAAACTAAAAAGAGAGCATTTAGTGTGTCTTCATGCTCGTAGGCCTTAGCTATGTGAGCAGGGGACTTTCTTGCCTTAGTATTATTTGAGCATTTTCAGTTGCTTATTGGTAATCTAAACTAAAGGTTCGCTGGTTTTATCCTTAAATATTTTGGGCTGTATTGATGTAATTTGTTGTAATTGGTGGCCGTATCCCCATAAACTTCACCATACATAGCAGCTTTGTGGCTTAAATCAGCCATGTAAACAAAGAACAGGAAAAAATTATGTTAAAGATAATTTGTTTCCGTCTCCATAGAAATTCTATACTAAAAGGATCAATGTTTCAAAAAGGGTTAGGCGGCCGTGGGGGTCCAGGCTGCCCAGTGCCTAGGCGGGCGCCCAAAACCTGGGCGGCCCAATTGAAAAAAAAGAAGAAGATAGAAGTTGAGAAGAGAATTTTGATAATCAATAAGACCATAATCCATATTTTCATACAATGTTAAAACAATGAAACCATACAAGCATACACTGATAGTCTGATACACTGTAGACTGTACACACAAAAGTTAGATAGTAGAACTAAAAACTAGAAAGTAGAAACTAAAAATAAGAAAAATAAAATATACAGAAATTCAGAAATATACAGCCTAGGACACAATAGTCAAGACTCAATAGTCAACAGTCAACACTCAAGTCTCAACTTAACAGTCAATACTCAATACCAAGAGTCTTCACTCATCGTCATCATCATCATTAGAAGGAATTGGGTTTGCCTCATCATATGCATTAGATTCGAGGCAATCATTGTTAGAGTCATCTCTCTTTTCAATATAACGCTCATCCTCCTCTGTTTCTTCTGAATCTGCATTTTACTCCTCCTCTTTTTACCTCCCTCTTATTAGTATGTGCAGATGAGACCCTAGGAGTTTTGGCTGCTCTACCTTCTATCTTTTTGTGCTTTCTTGATCTCAAATATTGTATAATCTCGTCCCTGGTAGCTTCAGGAACATTTATACACGGGATAATATCTCCCTTAATACCGGCAAGATGTTTTTTAAACCGGTAAGTTCTCCCATTAGTATCATTTCCACAATAATTACATTTAATACGATTTTTGTTATTCGGATTCGGGTTATAACCATACTTCCAACCCAGATCACCACTTCTAAAAGAACTTGGAGAAGATATTTCCATAGAACACGGCTCATTTTCATCATTTTCTGGTTCTTTTAAATTCAGAAATTGTCTAATCTCATCCCGAATAGCTTCATGAACCTTTTTACAAGAAGCAACGTTCCCTTTAATACCAGCAAGGTGTTTCTTGAATCAGTTAATACCTCTATTGGTATCTTTTTCACAAAAATTACACCTTATACAATTTTTATCGTTTGGTTTTGGGTTATAACCATACTTCCAACCGGATCATTTCTTCTAAAAGAAGCAGAAATAGATCTATTTAAATGACAAGGATTTTGTTCCTGTTTTTGTTTTACAGAACTCATATATTGTTTATAGCTTCAAGAACTTTTTTACAAGGGGCAACATCCCCCTGACTACCGACAAGATGTTTTTTAAACAGGTTTATGCCCCATTTTGTATCTTTTTCACAATAATTGCATCTAGTGCAATTTTTGTCATTTGGATTCGGGTTATATCCATATATTCAACCCGGATCTCCACTTCGACTAGATTCTGAAGAAATCTCAAAATAAAGCACGCAATATGAAAAATAAAGTTTTGCACTTACTTTGATTGCTCGAACTCCAAACTCCTACCTCTGATATGTTTTCAGGTGCTAAAATAATAAAAAACACCATCTACTAGGATTATAAAACTCCAAAACTAAATCTAATCTACTTGGGTGATGTTTGGATCTGTTTTTCGTAACTTAGAGAAACACTTCGATCTAATGAAAATCACAAAATTTAGTTTTTTTGAGGTTTCTTTCTCTCTACAATGTGTTTTTGTGGGTTTAGGTTTCAAATGAACACAAAACTCATCCTTAAAAGCTTTTATGTTTAAAAAAACTCAATAGAACAAACAAATAAAAAATAAAAAATAAGAAAATTCTGCCCCTAGGCGGGGAGCAGGCACTGGCCTGTAGGTGCCTAGGGACTGCCGCCTAGGCTTGGGTGATGCGCCCAGGCCTTCTGGACCGCCTAGGCGCTGGGCGGTCTGCTTTTTTGAACAATGAAAAGGATGAAACAAAATTACCATTAAAAAGTGACATAACGAGTCATTTTTGTTGACCATTTTTCAGCATTGAGTACTGGCCAGATCCCCAAAGAGGCATCAAGGAAGCATATAGAGTCTTAAAATTAGGGGGCAAAGCCTGTCTCATAGGTCCTGTACACCCAACATACTGGTTATCACGTTTCTTTGCTGACATGTGGATGCTCTTCCCAAAAGAGGAGGAGTACATTGAGTGGTTTGAAAAGGCAGGCTTTAAAGATGTCCAACTCAAAAGGATTGGTCCAAAGTGGTACAGAGGTGTGCGTAGGTATGGTTTGATCATGGGATGCTCGGTAACTGGCGTGAAAAAAGCTTCAGGTGATTCTCCCTTGCAGGTATGTTACTTGGATTGCCATATGTGTATGCCCATTTCTATGAGTTACTGATTATGTCGATGTTCATGGATATTTTGCTCGAGTATGCCTACCGTTAGATTGATTTCTGTTTTGGAGATGATTATATAGATTTTCATACATCTAACTTCATGAGTATGTTTATTTGTTAATGAAAGTAGGGCTACTTGGGTTTATTGTGGTTTGAGATGATCATTTAGTTTTCCATATATATCATTGTATAATTATTTCTATTTTCCAATGAACATTTACTTTTGTGGGTATGTGCTCGAGTATGTCTGTTGTACCTTGTTCCATGTCACTACCCTATATGAGGTACACTTGTAATTATTTGGTTGTGAAGTATTTCAGGGTATTATTATTTACTCATAGATGTTTTGGAGATGGTATCAAATAGCTGTGATTGAAATCCTTGCAGACTTTGAATGTGTATATATCATTAAGACGAACAATAATCTCAGTTCTAGGTTTGTGCTTTGTGTATGTGGGCTTCCCTTTATGAATATGTATGCATGTGGGTTTAGTTCAGAAACCTTGGGGGATGAGTGTGGCTTTATGATTGTTTCCCAATATCCCACTACCAAATAACCAAGAGGACCTAAGTATGAGAAGGAAGGTCTTGGTATGTGTGTTTGTCCTACACCTGTAGGTGTGCATGATTTATAATGGATTGACAGACCTTCTTTTGAGGTGTGAGTAACTTAAATTATAGTACAAAGCAATCTAGAATTATGTTGTTAAATGTGATTAAATTTTTATGAAATAATAATAAGGGTGCAGTTCATATAGAGCCGAGGCTCTAAATAATCAAAGTAAAGCGCACAGAATCTTTGTGATAGCCTTAAAATATATTTTCATCTTTAACTATAAAATTTAAAGCTTCAAAAATAGTGTAAATCGAGCAGGTCTATGAAAACTCGAAAAATGCGCTACAAGATGCACTATTTCCAAATCCTGAAATCCATTTTTTTTCTCATGTCCATGCATCTTAATGTCGAGATGAACAATTTGAGGATGTTTGGGCATCAAAACAACCTCTTCTAGTGAAAATTTTGAGGTGGGCTCTAATTTGATTGTTTTGAACCTTGGCTCTATAAACTTTTTCCTAATAATAATGAGGCAAATTAAACAGTTTACACTAAAGCTGCATAATTTAGGACTGAGAAAGTCCAAGAACATTTTGTCTTACGAAAAAAGTTTTGTGCTTTCTCGAAACATTAAACCTGGTTTTATGTGGACCAGATGCAAGATAGGCTAAGATGCAATGTTGTGTAAATTAAAAAAATCAATTAATCAACCAGCAGAAGCATGTCGTCTAGATCGTATATTTCTAGTTACTCATGGCTGAGTGAAGTGAGCGTTTGAATGCTTCATCTTATTAATAACTTGCACGTAGTAACCTTATTTTGGGATGGCATTCCTACTTCTAGAACAATGCTTCCAGGATGATTCTGATCGGAAGAATGTCTCCTGTCCCACTTTATTGCCTCATGTACTGCCTGAGATTTCTTGTAACCATCCAAAATACATATTTTCCATAAAAATGCCTAAAAATTTGGGTAGTGGTTATCTGTGTTAAATATGAAAACTGGCATCTAACTTTGGGCTTTTGTTCCTTTTATTAGAAGGGACATGTTTTGGAGCCTAGCACTCGTTTGTAAACTTGCAGTACCATTTATCCACTTGAAAGAAAAAAGTAGTACTTTAGCTAAGTAATCTTCCGACCTCGTTGTTGTCCAGAAATTTAAAGAAAAGGAATATTGCTTAGGCTTATCAGGTTTATCGTTGCCATCTGGTAGACTTTTTATCTGTATATAATATATATCCCATTTCTGACCATATTTGTACCCTATGGGTTGAAATGGGGCATTATATGTTCCTAAACCTTTGGGACCTTTAACATTCACCTTATTTGGGGAGGTGAAGCTGGTGGCAAAGGAAATTTTATGCTCTTTGGATGTGCATTTTGGCTGTGTTCTGGAAATTGTCTAAACCAAAAATGTAAAGGACTTTCTCGTCAGTAAATATGGAACATGCAGAGATAACCATTAGGAGATAGAAAAGGAAAGTTGCATGTGCGTATGTATGGTACCTTACAATTATTGGGATATATAGAAAGTGCCTCTTGCAATCAACCAGAAGGGTTGAAACATAGCTATTTGTCAAGTAATTCTTAGGGTATGCTTAGCCAAGTGTGCAACATGATCTGGGTTTGCAAGCTCTATTGACATTATAGGTCAGTCATTTCAGCATCTGAAGTTGCATGTATGCATTGTGTTATCACATGTTGGTTCAGGAGTGAAAAGAGATCTCCCACTTTGCATTACATGCTTAGTTCTTTAGAAAGGTAGCAATACAGTACATAAGTTCAATTCAGTTCCTTCAATATTATTTATCATTCAGGAAATCCAGTAAATTCCCTATTCATCATGAGAGAGAGATCATTTTATGCATATCGCTTTGAAACTTTTGGATGGGCATCAAACCCCCTATTCGTCAACGAATTGTTCACACACTGTAAATGTCCTAGACTGTTCAGAGTTCAGATGAGCATTTGGAGATGCAGATTAAGTATGAGTGCCCAAGCCATGTTAATCTTTCATTGTCTGCCTTTTAATTCTTGCTTTCATCCTTTAAGTGGCTAAGCAGGTTAGTGTTTTGCATGTTCTTTTGCTTCTTTTTTTTTTTGTCTTTTTAATTTCTTTGATGAAAGAAACTCTTGATTTCATTGTGTGCTGAAAATATGCATGCCCTTGTGAAATTCGTTCACTTAACCGATCAACAAAAAAACAAAAAGTTATATAGTATGCTTTCTCATTCTCGAGGCTTAACGGCTTCTCATTTTCTTTTTTGTTCTAATTCAATACTTGAGGCTTATCAACATTGACATTTTATAACTAGGCCTTGTAGGCCTTGTAAACATCAAGATTGCATCTGAAAATTCTCGTCAATATGTGGCACCATAACTTTATTTGAGTTTTGTGCAGCTTGGTCCGAAGGTTGAAGATGTTAACAAACCTGTCAATTCATTCGTGTTCATATATCGGTTCATCCTTGGGAACATATGTGCTGCGTACTTTGTGCTTGTCCCAATTTACATGTGGATCAAAGATAAGATTGTTCCCCAAGGTCAGCCCATTTGAGAGAGAGAGACGGCATTTCATGCCAAACTATCTTGAGACTCTTTTTCAAGTTCTTGATTTTTTAGCCTTCACGTGGTTTTGACTTTTAAGTATTTTGTAGTTGTTTGTATGATTTTCTAATAATCAGAGTCCGCAAGTTAACACCTTTGGCATATGGCCATATGGTATGCCTGTGTTCTTTTTTTGACCTTTGGCATATAGCCATATACTATGCGTGTGTTCTTTTTTAGCTTTTGCATTTTCTGTTGAGCCCAAAGCTCAGCTGCAGGATGCTAGGTTTCTGCCTTTGCTGCATGCTTCCTTAATGGCTCTCTCTCTCTGTTTGTGTATGTTTTTAGTTTATTACGAAATTCTGAGAGCCAACAGCATTATCGGTCTATAATGATTTTTATCGAACTAAGGTATCCTGGACTTAGTCTCAGCCCATCAAATATGGTAGCTCTCTTTGATGCTGGCAGTGTTGACCATGGATGGCTGGGGAGTGATTCTTCATCGTGTAAGTTCCATCGACAGCCATCGACAGACATGAAGGATCTGCATATATCCAAAGCAAAATAAAAACAGGTCACATTGTATACTTACGCCTTGAATTTTAAAAACTGGCACTCTGGCTCGGAACCAAGGTGATCGATCCAGGTCTAGGACCCCCTGTTTTGCCTCGTTTCCACCGATTCCCAGTTGTTTTCTTATTTTATAGAAAAAAACTGCTGAGAACCGGCCAGTTAGCTTCCGCCGGTTCTTAAGTCAGCTTTGAATTGGTGGGCGACGGGTTCAATTCACAGGTCAGGTTTCTTATTTGCTTCTTGTACTCTAATATTAAGAAAAGGAAAAAGTTTATATAAGGATGCTACCTTATAAGGTAGAACTACGTATGCCCCAAAAAAATCCATCGGAAAAGGTAGTTGAAAAATCATTTGATTGATCATCTCGACATCAAGATGTATGATTATGAAAAATAAAAAGATTTTAAGTATAGAAACATTTCTCTTAATTGGAACTAATTCAAGAAAAAGGAAGTGGGATATGCGGCCATTACGTTGTCTTTCTAAGTTCTTCAAAATCTTACAGTGCGACTTTGAGAACCTTATCCGTAACTATCCATGTGAAATTTCCCAACCATGCTTGTGCAAACCGATTAACTCTCAACTTTCCACCTTGATGGCAATAAACCTTCAAACATTTCCGAGTGAATTACCTTTCATATTGAATATTGAAAAAATGTATGTACCATTTAGTTTTGATACAAAGATGGGACAATCATCAATGACCATTAAATTTGAAATTGGGTGGTTAAAGATGTCATTGTTTAAATATAAAATCCAAAATAAAATTTTTCGATTATTGTGACATTTTTATTTATTGGATTTTATATCCAATAGCTAAAAGTACTTGTGACCTATTTGTATAAAAAATAAATGGACTTTTCTTTTTGTCGCCCTCTTCCTCTCTTATGGAGAAGATCCACGTAACCTCTCTCTGTCTGCGCCTCCACCTTCTAGAGAAATTGGGTTTCATCATTAAAGGCCATTTTCACAATCTGTGCTCCATGGAAATCATACGAGAACTAAAACAGTGATTTCTAGAGAAATTGGGTTTCACCATTAAAGGCCATTTTCACAATCTGTGCTCCATGGAAATCATACGAAGACCAAAACAGTGATTTCTTCTTCTTATCCAAGAGCAGTTGATGAGGTTCATGATCAAGATGGATAAAACCCATCGATTTTCGCACTAATGTTAAGCCAATACGTCAAATTTATTTTCCGTTTCAAGGATTGGGCCCTGAACTTAACCATAAAAATTCATACGAAGTAAATTTTCCTGTGTTTATAGTCCCCCACATGTTGCTTTTTGCGGGTCTCAATTAGCTTGGGGGTTCATATTCTCCACTGTGAAATGTGGACTTTCCTGAGAGAGATCATGTTGATCTTTTAGCAGGTGGAAGCAAAAGAGCGTTAAGGAAATGTATTATGGGAAAGTTTTACTATGTTTCTTCTACAACGTAGAAGTTCTGTCCTCCCTATACCATCCAGTCGTCCAATTTTGATCAAGAGAGCCACTCACTGTTTGATCTTAGATCCGACATCTCAAAATATTTTATTTTTAGTTTGTTTTTATACGAATTGTATGAATATTAAATTTGGTACGTGCTATCTTCTCATTGGAGCACACCTATAAAAATATTAAAAATAATTTTTCAATAAAATATAATGACTAAAATACCTTTTGAAACTTTTAGAGGTATTTTGATCATTTTATTTTATTGAAAATATAGTTTTTATATTTTTTGCTAGTGCGAGTTTAATAGAGGAATGGACGTCCAAAATTTGGTGTCAAAATAGTTTATAGAAAAAAAATTAAAAATAAAATAGTATAGAGACGTGACATTGTGATTAAGGCAATCTTAGCCCTCCATTCAAATGGACGGTTGGATAAGGGAGAGGATAGAACTTCTATGTTGTAGGGAAATCATAGAAAGCTTGCCCATGTATTATTACTAATATAAATCTACTTTGTTGAAATAATGTTATTGTAAAGATCTATCTCAAATTTTGTTTATGTTTATACCATTTATTTTTTATTTTTTTTTGCCAAAATGTTCCACTTCGGACCATTATATATCGGTAAACCAATGTACCGGTAATAAATTTGTTTTGGTCAAAAAATTCGGTGGTAAAATATTAGGGCAAAAGTACAGGTCGCCAAATATTATATAAGTCAAATAATCATGAAAACTTCAGAGTTAGGCTTAAAAAAGAACAATGAACAAATTTTATATGCAAAGGTAAATAGAATTATAATGAAAAAATATCTCCATAAACTTCATTTTCAACTTTTATTTTTCCATTGATCCAAGGTTGCAACATCTATTTTACTACATAGAATTTCACTCTCTTATATCTCCTAATCTCCTAAACATATTTTATTTATTTATTTATTAATTATTTTGACCCAAATAAAATTAAAAAAAATAATTTTTTTTTTAAACCCCTCACTCGCATGATTCCCTTTCTCTCTCTCTTTGTAATGGTGTTCTTGATTTAGAAAAAAAAAAAAATTTCTTTGGGTTATTTTTCCTTTAGTTTATCTATTACTTTGAGATATACAATCGTTTTGCGATAATATATTTTTGAGAAATTATCAGAAATATATCTTAGTTTTTGTCTAAATTAAAAAAAAAAAAAACACCCATACTTTCATTAACTTCTTTCATACACTTTTTTTTTTTTTTTTTCATTTTTGGCTTTTTTCTTTTCTATATCAAAAATAGCCTTCACGGTAGTCGTATTACTGTGAAGGTATGATGCATCATGGCACTTATAGATTCAAACATCACGGTAGTCGTATTACCTGTGATGACTATCACAGGTTATAGATTCAACCATAATATCTTGAGACATCACTGTACTTAAAGTACTGTGATGACTCTCACATGTTTTACGACACTAAAAATGTCGTTATTATATTTGATGATGATTACGGCAAAAAAATTACCGTAATGCTAAAGAGCATTATTACGATATTTTAAGTACCATAATGCTAAAGGGCGTCATGCCCACCAGGCTCAAATTGTCCTTCGGTTTTATACTTTGTCATGAATATTAAGCTTTGAGGATTTGGGGCTTGAATTTTTAATTTTTTGAATTTGCAAAGCCACACTTGCCAAGTTCCAAGTCTATTGCTGAACTTGTTAGGTTTATGTGGCCTTATGAGAGCTTGTATGAGCATTTTATATAGGGGAACATAAACTCAATGGGAATTTTGTTGACCATACTAGGCAAATGTTATTTGCTGATACTCGAACTAGGCTTGACGAGCTAGGCCAACTAAGGTTTGGAAAAACCCAAGATACCTAAACATAGGGATCTACCGAGAAGGGTTTAGTGGGTTATCCTTTGATGAGGTTGGAGTATGCTTAGATGAGAGCCAAGGGACTGTGTGGCCCTTGCGTGTGATGAATAGCCTTTAGAGACAGAGCTAAAACCTCATCATTAATCATCACACAACATGTACATAGATAGCTATTTTGAGATCACCAATGAGGGTGAATCGTGTATGCGAGAGATTACTCCTATGCACCATAGAGTCATGGTTGCATCATGGTCTGGAGGACCATGATTTTTGTCTCTAGTGGAGAACTTGAAATTTATAAACTGGGATTGCGTCCCTTAGTCTATTGGCTGACTTTGGTGGTCCAATCATGAGCCCCTATAGTGGAATGTGAGTCATGGGAACTGCTAGGTCAATTTCAAAAAGCTAAGCGGATCGTGATTCGCAGTTGAAGGTGGGGTGCTCCCATGTATTGATAATTTCCTATATTGGATCCGATTCCTATCAAACTTAATTAATTTTATGTTATATGATTTTCGGAATGTTTATTTGAATTTTTGTGAATCTTCTGATATTTTATTTTTGTCATTTGATTTATAAATTAAAAAAAATTAATTTTTCAATGTTTTAAATAAAATATAATATTTAAAAATTCTAAATATGAAATAAAATATTTTCTAAAAATATATTTGATCTCCATCAAATATGAAGTCCAAAATTTAAAAAGATGTGGATCAGGTGGGGCCCACATGTGGCCACCAAAAAGGGGGACACGCCTAATATTCTTGGGAATAAAGTTTATCGTCTTTGTTGGCTTATCTTTAGGTATATAATAAGGTTGAATATTTGAGATATTTATTATCGAATCAATATTGGTTGATCTAATAATTAAGGATAGGATATATTAAAATATAAGTTTTGCTTATTTGATAGGAATAGATTTAGGAAATGGAGGATAAGGTTCTAGTTCATCTCTTTGAGTCTTGATGGTGGATTAAAGAGATTGATAGCTCAAATCTCTCACCCCACAAGTCTTTTGAGATCGACGGTTGAGATTTGACCCCACGAATTGAGGCAAAATCTATGGTATAAAAAATCTATAAAAGAATGTCTCCCCTCATAAAATGAGATACGTATTTTCTTCTGTCTTTAAGAATTATCTCTTCCTACCAAAAATTTAGCTCTTTCTCAAAGGTTTTGGATTACCAAAAGGAGGCATGCCTCAATTTTTATCTTTCTCCAAGTTATATCATGTTTTGGGGGCACCCATTACCTCTGTTTTTTATGGGTGGCAAAGTGGTCTAGTGGATCTCTCATTCTCTCTTCATATTCATCGTTCTAAAATCAAGCTAAGAGGTTTGATCAAAATTAAGTCAGTGGATTTTTGCCATGTAGGAAAAT